CAGCTGGCAAGAGTATGTGGCAAGTTCAAATAGCTAGCAAAGATCAATGGAAATAGAAAACCAAGAATGGAAGGTTGTGCCATTCTGTAGTACCACTTCTTTCAAACATATAAAATTAATTAATAGTGTCATGTGCATCAGATTTTGTATTAGACTGTATAATTTGTAAACACTTAGATATTTTTCCCATGTCTTAGTTGATAAAAATCCTTAATAATAGCTACAGCTGATGGTGGGTATGATGCTGTGCCAAGGGAGTTGATATTTGATAATCCTGCTCATCAAACATCACTGAAAGTTCATTGAGTTTTGTAAATGTAAGTATGAAAATGTCATTGTAATTGCAAGGTGCATTCAAATCAATTGTGAACTTGAGTATTCTTTTTAATTGAGACTCTTCTTGTAATCAGAATGCTCAAATTGTCTTTTTCTGAACAAATATCTTTATTAAAAAGGGCTCCACTTTTTCTTTGTCAAAGAGAAAGGCTTCTACAAAAGGTATAGGGAGGCTCTTCCAGCTGCATATTTGCATATCATTCCAGTGTTGAAAGCATTGGGAGATCTAGTAACATCATTCATTATACATTATTTCATTCCCTTAAATTATTTGCTAAATGGGAAGTGATAGAGTTTTTTTCTTTTTCTTTCTTCGAGTTTGTGATGTCTAAATAGAAAAATGAAAAGTTTATTATTAGTGTAAAATTCTGTAACTATTGTGTGTACATATTTATTTTGCTGAAGCATGTTACAGAATTTCATTGATTGAAGGTTGTATTATATGTGCATTTGCAAGTGAAATTGTAAAGTGGCTAAGAATTGTTTGTACAATCATTGTGCTTCTAATAAAGTTTTATTTTGTGTATCAGGAATCAAGTCTCTTTTACGTGCCCCTCCACTAATCTGTTTCCAAGAACGTGTTGAGTAGTGCATTGGGTAAATTTTCTTCGCACAAGAAAAATACAGCAGAAAAGTTTTAATTAATACACCTTGATCAACTGCATTAATCTGTAATACTTATCTCCAATAGGCACATAACTTGAAAGAAAATTATGCAACCTCCACCCTTTTTAGAGATGTCTACCGTTTCAGTAGATAATTAGGAACTTGGGGAAAAAACTACAACAATGAAAGTTTCAAATTTAACTGACAAATTTAAATATTTGATTGTGTTACTCCACCCTATTCTCTTTCATTGTGTCAATGAACGGAGTGTTGAGAGTAAGAGGGTATCTCTGTTGGCCAAGTAACATGGCCACCTGTTTGAGCAAATGATTGTGCAATAATTGTGATTAGAATCATCACGTTTTTGCCCAAAATATTTTAGCAATTACCGTTGGTTATTAATACTTTTCACGTTTGATGTATTCTGGTTTCGTACATTTCACATTTTGAAAGTAGCGTGAGGATTAAAGGTAAAATTCTAGTTTTATTTTAATTTGCAATTAATTGTGTAAAATCCAGTTTCTTAAGCTCATTTTCATGACTGTAGGTCTGAAATCCGAGATGATCCTCTTGTTTTTCTGATGATAGAGCATCATATACATTTTTGAAAACACCCTCCTTCTTAGAACCTCTGTTATTATTTTCAGAATATCTTCCTGTTTATGCGATATGCTGTTACTGTTAGAATAGCTTCAAACCTTGCACAATACCGCAGACAAGAGTGTGTAGAACAGTTTGCAACAGATACAGTTTTCTAACATATACTATCTTGGTTTTATTATTGTTATACGTTGTAGCCTAATAAAGTTATAAAATTTCAATGTCAGTAAATGATTATTAGTGCCTGATATGTCTAATAGTTTGTGAAACCAGATAAGCTAAAATTCAAATGATGCATTTGAGAGATCACCACTTTTACTAGCATGTGTGTGATGCAGGTTTAAAGAGAAATTGTTTTTGTTTAACATTTTTTACAGAAATAAAATAGTCAAAATAATAAATTGAAAAAAAATATTTCTTTCATCAAATTACATTGGCATATTTTGTTTTCATAAAAATGGCATTCTTTGACAGGTTACAATCAATAATAACGTAATCCCAAAGTCAAATTTTTAACAGAGTCTTGATTTTCTCTTTCTTCTTCATATGTATCAATAGAGTTGGGTACAAATTTCTGAATTCCAAAATTCTTCAGTTGTGTTCCCCACAATTTTTTGTCTGCCATAGTCAAGAATGCTTTTATCAGCTTTTCTTTCAAATTTACTGAAAAAAAAAATAAAAAAGTTATCTCAATCATAATTTTCTTCTCTCAAAACAATTGTCCTTATTTGAACAGCATAGTTTACAGCTTATAATAGCGGTAGAGATAACTTACCATCAATGTTGCTGTTAACAATTACTGGGTGTGGTGGGAGAGGTCCAATGCTGTCTAAAACGATAATATCTTTACCACCATCTTGTAGGTTCTTTTTGTTGTATGCAAGAGTATTGGCATCCACAGAAGCTGCTTCAGCTTGCTTTGATAAAACCATCTGAATTGAATTTAAGTGAGAACCTGACTCTATAAAAGAAATGATTATAAGAAATGGTATGATTTATGCAATAGCTATGGATACTGAAAATACTTACTTAATGTATTGCCAAAGAAAGATGCATTTTCTCCTAATTGTTTTAGATTTCTCAATATAATTTTACAACCACTCAATGAATTATCATTACTGTAGGCCCATCTACATCCTCGCAAATCCAGAAATTCCTTAACATGTTTCCTAAGGTGAAAATGTATGTTTGGATAAGTTCTGTATTTCTATTTCTAGGCTCTGTAAAAGATGTTTGATAATGTAAGACTACGTACTTTCCATCCACATGTATAATGATATCTGCATAGTAGCCTTTTGTACCATCCGTGTTTTTGGGGTGATTAATTACAGCCGCAATAGGAAGCAGTTCAACTGAAGGATTTTTTTCTTCCAAGAGATGGATGTACGCTGAAGTGCTCATAAATGCTAGAGAAATAGAAAACTATTATTATTTTCTGACACGAACAGGGTTATATATTGTTTTTTTTTTTTTTAAACGTATTTTGCTTACCAATGTCCACTATGTTGTCTGTAAATGGATCAACTCGATCAGGTAATGGGCCTGTATTTCGTGACTCATACAATAAGTATCCTTCACAGTTCAACTCCTCTTCCAAATATCGTAAAAGAAGTTCATACAATTCAACTGGATGGCTAGGGCACATGTATGTTATTACGCGCAACTTTGATTTCTTTGCTGACATCTTGAAATCTACGAATTGGAAGTGTATCAAATTATTTAAAATGCACCAAAAAGTGTCAAGAGAAAAAATTAAAATGCAATAAAATACCTTTTGGGTTGATGAAAGTCAGTCATTAAATACCCAAAATGAAATGTAGAAATTTTGCTAGTTCAAGCACCAAACCCTGAGGGATGCCACACCATCATGCAGGATGAAAAGCCCTGGCAATTATTAATTGTAATATTTGCTAATATAATATCTAGTTCTTAGAAGTTTGACAAAATGCTTTTTTATTGCTGTAATGATTTTAGGACTTTTAGTATAGGATTCGCATAGTACCACTTTTGGAGTTTGTTTTAGAACATTATCATTTTCCCTACTTTAGCTTCTTATGCCTATTTTTAGAATTCTGGCATTTTTCTCCTTTATTATTATTATTTTCCCTTATCTCCTAGCACTACTTTTGATCACTGGAAACATAATTGTAAGCTTGGACAACAGGAAGGCACTGTTGTGTGTTGTCTTTTCTGCAAGTGAGAGGTTCCAGAAACCAAAATTTAGTGTACCACTAAGAATAATTTTCAGTTGTAAAATTTAAAAATAATGTTTGTAATAGTCAGAGTCTGCAAAAAGACTGTCTTGTATAATGAAGATTACAAAGGAAATATAATTTCATTCCGCATAAGTGCTGATGTAAATTATAGATAGAATAAAAAAGAAATTGAATCATCGTAATTATTAATTTTGTACATTAATTTTTTTAATGACAATTTTCCTTGTTTACACGCCTCTTCACACCCCTATTTTAGTCAGAATAAATGCCTTTAAGTATGCCCCTTTTAGTAAAAATGAATGCCCTTTTCCCTGTCTATTGTAGGTAAAATAAATACCTGAACTTTTGCATACAGCAATTTTACAAAAGAAATTAATTCATAAGAAAAAGTAATTCAATGCAGCATTAAATCATGGAAATCAATTAAAATATTGTGTGAATTCATGAATGACTTTTCTTGCATAGAAATCAACTTCTCTTTTTCTAATTTACATATGCGGTATCAAAGCAAGTGACTAGCAAATTATAATGGTATTCATAAGCATTATTTTGAATATGTTTCATAAACCAAGAAAAAATTCAAACATTTACCAATTTTACAGTGCAAATTAGTTCTTCATTTATTATTTCTTACAATTTTTCAAAGTAATAACTACATTAAGATGGTTTGAATTAATTAATTCTAAAGTGTGATATTTATGGGATATCTACCTGAAATACATCTTTATATACAGACTTGTAGATTCTTATGAAAGTGTACAATTCACAAATACTTTTCACATGATTTCTGTTTAGCTTTTTTTTTTTCAATGTTTTTGGAAAACTACCTCTGCCTCTACATCTGCTTCATTTATGAATTAGAGGTTTTTGTCAGGACTGATTTACTCATGGGTGGAAACATATTTTCATGCAGTAAAACTGTAATTACAACACAAATTGTAAATATATTATTCATCACTTGTTAGTAATTTATTAACAGCTCACTACAATATCCACATGTAATGCATGTACGTTATTTTACAACTCATCCAGATGACATCAAGCAATTAAAATATTAATATATAAGTTAAATTGCTAAGTAAAAATCTCTGCTGCATCACTGTTTCCATAAAGGGAAACAGTGATGCTATGTGATTTCCATGTAAGGGTCCATATAATATAAGGGACTATAGTGGGCATCAGAAACTAAAATTATGTTTATTTTTAATGATATTAATTCATCAGTTTCCATTCGTATTCTGGAAGGTTAAATACACCTGTCGTAAGTGTTGTAACTCAGTATCTGGGTCAATGACCCAATCTAGATCAGATGTTTACTCGTTTTCCATGATCCATTGAGTAAACGAGATGCCCTCTTGTCTTGTTTCTGGAGTTAATGTAACTTCACTATCTTGAGCTAGATGTGGGAGGAGTAGGGTGGTGTGAATGTGTGTGTGTGTAGGTGTTCTTTTGTCAGCAAAATCAAATTTTATTTCTTTAGCCTATGCAAATATGTTTTTAATACAATGGGAGTGTACATTTTTAGGTTTCAAATGATATCAATCACTCATTGGTTCTTATTTATAACAGAACTACATTAGGTAAAGAAGAGATGTTGGAATTCTGAAGTTGAAGAAAACTTGTGCAGATTGTACTTGTTTAACATAGGTCGCATACATTGGCCATTTTGGCAATAAACAAATAATACATTTTTAAAATGCCAATTTCCCCCGTCTAAAAATAATTTCTTCAATTTTAGGAAAACTATTACCTGATCATTGCAAATAAATTAATCATTTATAATTCCAAGACTTGTTATTTAGACTATGACTTGTCCACAATATACCAGTCTAAATTGTGGGTGATATATTACAATTTGGGAGTATATTATTGAAATATTATTATTATTATTATTATTATTATTATTATTATCATTATTATTATTTTCAAAATTTCATGTGTATAATTGAAAATGTTCATTGATAGATCACAAGATGTTAGATAAGAAAATCATAAATATAATGTTATATTAAATATTAGATAAAATTAAAACCTAAAATATTTAATGTAATAAAAATGAACCTTCAGCAATGTGAGACTTTGTTATAATGTATCAGAACAAAATTATAAATACATTACTTTATTCATTAAAAAGAAAAAACAAATTAAAGTAATGGTATACACATTGAAATTCACAATTATTGCCTTATGCTTAAAATGAATGACTGAAAATATTGTGAATTCTCACATATAAGGTATAATAGGTAAGAGCTATAATATCCTCATTCACATTCTCTTCAAAGACTCTACGTTATAACGTTTTCAAGAGTGTTATTAGTGAAATTGTAATGTTAGTCACCGACTTTTAACGCATTGACAGTTTAATTTTATCCATGTCCACGAAACTGTCAAATATCAAAAAGGTTTATCTACATTTGATTTAATCCCCGCGCCATTTCTATTCATTGGTTACTCAATAGTGGCACTGGTGAGCACGACTGAAAGTGATATTTATGAAATGATATTCTTACCAGGTGTTTAGATACCGGAGAGCGTTTCCCCGTCGGAGAATCCAGAACTTTGCTGCGCGTCCCTCCTTGCTTCAGTCTCTTGCTTAGCAAACCGGTACAGCGCGGTGGCGAGGTGACCACCTGTGGCAATCCTCTTCTTGTCAAGTAACTTGCCGTGCTATGTTTCCATGCTATGAAGGAAATAACTCTGAAGGGAAAAGCAGTTGTTGGTCGGGCGGGAACGAACTCGTTACAAGGGTAGTTCATTCGCCTGCGAGCTCGTGAGATTATTATTTCGTTTCTTTTTTCCATTTTATCAGTATTTGATAACCAAATGTCAGACATTCGGCAACAGTGTTCAGGCAACGTGAGCGGCACGTGCTCCGGATGCGAGAAGCGCTTTCTTCAAATCTCTTTGAAGGCATATGTTTTGTTTATTTATGTATTCAACGTTAAAAAAAACTTTGTGGCGTACTATGGGAATAAGTTAATTCTCTGCAAGATTTCATAAATTTTGGAATACGGGGTATATACACTATATTAAGTAGGGATAGGCCTATCGGTTATATTCATTCTTCAAGTCTTGTGGATTTTTAAGAAGAAAGAAAGAGTGAGTCTTGATCAGTAAGAAGTATTAATATCTTTTGGCATATTTTATGAATGCCGTACAATGATGATTTGAAATTTCAAAATTTTAGCAAGTCCTAATTTTATTTATTATTATTATTATTATTATTATTATTATTATTATTATTATTATTATTATTATTATTATTACTACTATTAAAAGTGCAGCGTTACAACAATGGGTTACAACAAGCTACAATGACTGCTAATTCGTATGGTATACTCATTTTGCCAATTAGCATTGTTATAGCGCTAGCAAGAAAATGAAAATGGATAGAAAAATATAATATTTTTATATTAATAAAAATTACTCGGCTTTTACATGCATTACTCTTCATTCCCACATCTTAGCAAAGAGAAATCATCTATTCGTTTTAACATTTAACTCAATTAAAGGATGCAATTTAAAATGGTTTTAAATAATTGGCTGATAATGACGGCTGCCTTTCGTTCGCGGTAATATAAATTAATAATTTTATTTACGGCTAGATTACGTATCGTACATCGTTGGTAGATTTACGTAGAACGTGAATGCACTGAATTCAGTGGCGAAAAGCTGTTTAAGGATTTGAATATAAACAAATATATGTATTTTTCACGCTTTGTTTGTTTAAGAAGTTTTCGAATGGTAGTAAGATAGGAATTGACAAATTATAATATTACATAGCCATTAACAATATCGCGAGAAAGTACGTGCTGTTGTATGCCAATTCTTCTTCTTCTTCTTATTCTTCTGCTTCTTCTTCTTCTCCTCCTCCTCGGCTCTTCCTTCAAATGTATGTTTTTGGCCTGCTCAACTATCCTTTTCCATTTTTCCGTTCTTCGAGTGCTCAATCCAATTTTCAATCTTCATTTTCCTGATGTCTTTGACATCACCTTTCCATATATTTGTTGTCCTTCCTCTTCTCCCTGGGCTCCCTGGATTCCAGCTGAAAATCTAGTTCACTATTCTGTCGTGCGACATCCTGTTAAGATGACTGTTGTAGCAGTCTGGTTTTATCTCTCTCACACATCGTTAAAAATACACATTATATAATATGTATTTAATTGTTTAATATGTTTGTGTATATAGAAGCTTCAAAGTATCTCTAATAATTTTTTTAAAGTCAGAACAAGATATTTGAGGCCCGTATATAAAAAAAAGATACTAAAATAATGTATGTGTTTTTTACTCGCAATCAAGCAGAGTATACAAAAATATTGTACAGAAATGAAAATTAAACCTTCGCGTTAATTGAAATGTTTTCTAAATATTTTGTTTGGTAACATTTTGTAAAAAAAATTGTAAATATTAAGGAAAACGAGGAGTGCCTTCGCGCGCTTCGGATTTAGCATGTGGAATGCGTTAAAGGAATAGGTTACCTCGGCAAGAATCTTCGATAAACAATGTGTTTATTTTGACCATAGCAAATATAAGAACCTGGCGGCATGAACCATTAATAATCTAGTTTCAGACATGAGGATTATATAATGTAGAGAATAAAGTGATTCAGGTGTGGAATATTGAAAGAATAGTGTAGAATGTCTGACGTGGTAGTCGACTGCATAGAGACTGTCTTTCAAGTGTATTAGAATATTTTTATAACTGAAATGGTTTCGTGTGACTCTTCGTTGCAAAAGTAAAGATTACAATGCGTCTTAATATAATAATAATAATAATAATAATAATAATAATAATAATAATAATAATAATAATAATAAAGCCATTGATCCCAGTGTTGGGCAAGGCCTCCCACAGCAGTGGGGTGACTCAATATTAAATTCGCTTTCAGGTGAGCTAACCCTGGAGAGCGTTTTGATAAAGCTTATTGTCCACTGTCCATAATATTGACTATTTTCCCTGTTACGCACTGTCTATATTGTTGTTGTCTACTGTCCATATTGTTGTCACTGGCCATATTATTGTTTCACTTGTCCACTGTCCACTGACTGCATCACCATCATTGTCGTCTGTTCACTTATTGCGCTGTCCATTTTGTTCGATGTTGTTCACTGTTGACCGTACTTCTGACCTTGCTGGCAGCTGAACCCGCTACAGTTGTCGTGCGTATTGCCTTCACTATGCGTAAGACGTTTCCACTAACGTCTATCTGTCGCTTTTCTTGACCACCGTTTGCCGGCTACAGCTCTTATTTCATCGCACCAGCGAGTTCTTTGACGACCCACTTTTCTTTTGTCAATTCTTGTTTCTCGTATACGAGTAGCTCGATGTGCCCACCTCTTCGGATACACATTATGTGACCTGTCCATCTCCATTTGATCTTCTTTGCCTCTCTGCATACATCTTTTAATTTCGTTCTATTGCGGAGATCTTAATTTCTTATTCTGTCTCTAAGCGTGACCCCTAGCATTTTTCTTTCTATTTTTATTTGCCAAAAGTTGTATATAATTGGTTTGGCGTTTAGGGACCATATCTGAGTTCTGTATAGTAGAACTGGCAGTATATAGAAATCAAATATTGCTTTCTTGTTCTTTATGTTTTCTTTTTTATTGTCCAGAATAAAATTTAGGCCCAAAAATTTCTTCGAAGCCTTTGAGATTGTAGTTTTTATTTCTTTCTCTTATCTGTTTTCAAATGACATTGTTTGTCCCAGATATAAGTATGCATTGACGTATTCAATCGTCTCAATATGCAGTGTCAAAATTGCAATGCGCGTCAGCGTTTAAATTTCCCTAAAGAGGAATCGCAATGGTTGGAAAGTTTGGTTGAAAAATATTTGTCAATAACGCTAGCGGCTTTTCAGTGAATGATGAAGCTGTACTTTGCGTTCATCATTTCAAATCGTTCAAATATAAAAGTTTGTTATTAGTGATGTTGTACCAGTTTTAAATAGTACCAGTGATAGTACCAGTTTTAAATCTTCGATGCGTGTGCCTCATAAATTATCAACATTTCTGAACTATGACTATCTTAATTTTTTTTACATCAGCCGAGTTATCATCTAGTAAAACTCAATAGTAATGTAAGAAAATATCCTGAAGCACTTAACAGGAAATTTTACAAATGGATTAGGAGAATTGGATTAAGTCGTGTGAAGAACTGATCACGGGCAAGTTTGAATATTTTGTGGCAAGATATAAAGAAAACTTCTTAACCCTTGTGCTTTTTTGCTAGTTATGAAAGTAAACAATATTCTATCTGTTAAAATATAATTTACTGGCTACACTTTCATTAACATGCATTAGTTTTAAAAGTCAGTAAGCTAATTTTTTCATGAACTAGGTCTATCTTTAGAAACTATATCATGGACTTTTTAAGTGCCAGGGAAGCAAAAAATGAAAAGTGACAGATGAAGCGAACTGGACAATTTGGAAAGCCATCTTATCTTATTGTAATCTGTACTAAAAATATAATTCTTAAAATAAGGTCGTAAACATTTTTTAAGAGTAATTTTTCCTTGAAGTTCAGATAATTTATATTTTTTTCTTCTCAAAATAGGCTCGAAATGTTTTCTTAATTTTTTCCTCGATAGAGTGAAGGGCACTTAAAAATAGCGTAGTTTTTATTTTTGTTGAACTGGATTTTTGAAAATTGCAAAATTAGAAATAATGCGGGAAAATATATATTATTTAGCATAACTTGTTTCTGTGAGTAGCTGGCGAAACGGTTCTCAAAAAGGAAATATGACTGTTGAAATATGCTTGACGCATTCTTTTCAGAATGAATGACAGTTGTTATTAAGATATCAAAATTGCAGTAAGAAATACTGCATTAATTTCACAAAATGCAAGAAAAGTACATAGTCTGTTAAAAAACGCGTACCGTGTCTCCAAAGTTTCAGAGGAATTCGCTTGATGTCGCTAGGTACACCCAGATCTGCTGATTATGACGCCATTTTCCGATTATTGATATCTTCATTTGTTTTAGCTAATTGTTTTTTAGTGAAGTGCGATTTTTTTCTTTTGTCGGATTCAAAATGAATGACCTGAAAGAGCAAAGAGTTGCTGTGAAAGTTTGTGTTTACACTAGAAAAATCTGCCTCACAAACGTTCGCTATACTTACATGGCTTACGGAGATGTTGCTATAAAACGTACGGCATTTTTCAAGTGGCATGAACGTTTTAAAAATGGTCGACAGTTCATTGAAGATGACATCCTTCCATGTCAACTGACGAAGCACACGTTGAGAAAATCAACACCCTGGTGCGGGAAAATCGATGACTGACTGTCAGGGAGCTTTCTGAAGAGTATGGGGTATCAGCTGGATCTTGTCACGAGGTTTTGTCTGAGAAAATGATGATGAACCGCTTTGCTGCGAAATTTGTACCACGTCTGATGACGGGGGAACAAAAAGCCCATCGTGTTCAGCTCGGCCAGGAACTGCTTCATCGTTCAGAAGATAAAAACTTGTCAATGATCATAACCGTTGATGAAGCATGACATTGAAACAAAGGTCCAGTCGTCCCAGAGGACGGGTGAAACATCCCTCAGACACAAAAAAACTCGCCATGTTCGGTCCAAGGTCAAGATGTTACTGACATTTTTTTAAATTCTAATGGTATTGTTCACCACGAGTATCTCACAGACGGCTCCACAGTGAACCAAAATTA